AACTGGAGCATCCAAATGAAGGTTCCGCTCGATTCACACGATCTATGAGAAATTGTTGAAGAAGGATATATAGAGCCCGAAGATGCTACTCGTTGAAGCATCTTTAACAAACACGCGAAGACAACATTTAAAGAATCACACAAAAAGGATAAGAAGGCCTTTTTTTCATTTTCTAAAGAGTTGATGAATCAACATTTGAGAAAGTATCGGACGCAACAACGTCAAATGAGGCATGAAAGATTTTGCGAAATCTCTTCAAGGAGTCGAAAAGGCTAAAAAGGTACGACTCCAATCACTTAGAGCTGAATTTGAGACCTTAAAAATACAAAATTATGAAAAGATCAATGATTATGTCGATTGTCCGAAAACAATGGAAAACGATATGAAAAGAAATGGAGAAACTCTTGATGACGTCGAGTGATGGAAAAACTCTTACGTTCGTTGACAAGAAAATTTGATTATGTTGTTACTGCTATTGAAGAATTAAAAGATTTGTCACAAATCTCGATTGATGAGCTTGTGGGTTCTCTTCAAGCTCACGAGCGAAGAATGAACCAAAATGAAAATGCCGGTAATCTAGAGCAAGCTTTACAAAGCAAGTTATATATTGGTGACAATCAAGCCAACAACGATTGTGGACGAGGTAGAGGAAATCGAGGTAGCTACGGAGGTGGCTATAAAGATGGCTACGAGAGGTAACTATAGAGGTGGTTACGAGAGGTGGACGAGGACGTAGCACAAACTCCTTCGAAAGAAGCCAAGGAAATGAAGGCTATCAAATATGTTGTCGTGGTCGAGGATCTAGGAGTCAAGGAAGAGGTAGATTTCAACAACGAGGCGATAAATCACAATTGCAATGTTATAATTGTAACAAGTATGGCCATCTCGATTACGAATACGGATTAGCATCAAGGATAGAGGAAATAAATCATTTTACAACGACGAGAAGATAAAGAAGCTGAATCGGCCATTTTCTTAACATATAGAGGAAATGGAGAGTGCAAGAAAAATGTTTGGTATCTCGACACGGTGCAGCGAACCATATGTGTGGTTGTAAGGAGTTGTTTATAGATTTGGATGATACTATCCAAGGAGAAGTTACTTTTGGTGACTCATAAAAAATTTCGATTAAAGGCAAAGGTAAGCTTATGATTATCTTAAAAAAAATGAAAAAAAGGTATATACATGATGTTTATTGTGTACCTTCTTTAAAAAGCCATATCATCGGCTTTGGCCGGCTCCTAGAAAAGGGGTATGATATACACTTGAAGGATCGATCTCTCGTCATCAACGAAGTGAAGAATTAATTGCTAAAGTTGATATGACAAAGAATCGTCTTTTCACACTTGATATTCATATAGAAGTGCTAAAGTGCATGAAGTCCGTCATTAAAGACGAATCATGGTTATGGCATCTAAGGTTTGGTCATCTTTGATTTATCGGCTTGAAGTTATTATCGAGAGCAAAGATGGTGAGTGGACTTCCGTAAATTAATCGACCGGATCAATTATGTGAAGCTTGCATTAAAGGAAAACAACATCGATAAAGTTTTGAAGTTGAAAAATCATGGAGAGCTAGAAGGCCTTTAGAGATTGTTCACACGGATATAACTGGTCCATTTGATATACCATCACTTGGTGGAAATAAGTATTATCTTATTTTTATCGATGATTTCGAGTAGAAAAAGTTGGTTGTATATTCTTAAAGATAAATCGAAGCCCTTGATAAATTTAAGGAGTTCAAAGCAATGACAGAAAAACAAAGTGAGCGAGTATTTGAAGATACTTAGATCCGATAGAGGAGGCGAGTACACCTCAAAGTTGTTTGAAGGTTTCGCAAAGAAAATGGAATCATTCATCGACTAACAACCTCATATACACCACAACAAAATGGCATTATAGAAAGAAAGAATCACACAATTATTGATATGACAAGGAGCATGGTGAAGGGAAAGCACTTACCGAGAAATTTTTAGGTCGAAGTCGTTCTATGTGTCTGTTTATTTACTTAATTGATGTCCAACAAAAAGTGTAAAATTCAAAACACCTAACGAAGCATGGAGCGATAGCAAGCTCTGCAGTTGGACATCTCGGGATTTTTGGATGCATTGCATATGCCCATGTTCCCGACCGAGAAAATAAAGAATTTAGATGATAAAGGAGAGAAATGTATCTTTATTGGCTATGAGAAACAGAGTAAGGCATATAGATCGTACAATCCTTTGACCTAGAAGGTGATCATCTCACGAGATATTGAGTTCGATGAAGCAGATTACTAGAGATGGAGCAAAGAAAATAAATAAGTTAAAGGACTATTTTTTAATGATGACAATGATGATGACTTCAACATACAAAATGAGCAAGGTGATAACCGGACTCCTCCATAAAGTCCAATTTCAACAACACCTCAATCGACACCATCAACATCGTCGGAAACAACGAAGCAGTAGCAACAATTCGGGAGAAGCACCTAAAAACCTACGGAGTCTAAATGATATTTATGATTCCACAAAACCCGTGCATACAATATTCGATTACTCTTTATTTTTTTTAACGACGGAGTGTGATCCAATAATGTACGAAGAGGTTGCTAAAGAGGAGAAGTGGAAGAAGGCCATGAATGAAGAAATTATTGCAATTAAAAGAAATGACACATGGGAATTAACTAGTCTTTCAAAAGGACATAAGGTAATAGGAGTCGAGTGGGTGTACAAGACAACAACTAATCCAAAAGGAAAAGTGAAAAAATATAAGACAAGATTAGTTGCTAAAGGCTATAAACAGATACAAGGAATAAACTATGAGGAGGTGTTTGCTCCAGCTTGCAAGAATTGATACCATTAGACTTCTCACAAGCACAAAATAAATGGAAGATTTATCGGATGGATGTGAAATCTGAATTCTTGAATGGGTTCCTAGAAGAAGAAGTTTATATCGAGTAACCACCAGGATATGTTAAAAAGGGACAGGAAGACAAAGTCTACCGACCGAAGAAAGCCTTATATGGATTAAAGCAAGCTCCACGAGCATGGAACACAAGAATATATGAGTATTTTCGGAAGAATGGTTTTGCAAAAAGTCCGTATGAGCATGCCTTGTACACGAAGAAAAATCAAGATAGTGATATTATGATCTGTATGCCTATATATGGATGATATGATCTTCACGAAAAATAATCCAGGCATGTTCAATGATTTTAAGAAAGCAATGACTAAAGAATTTGAAATGACGAGATATTGGTGAAATGTCATACTTTCTTGGAATCGAGGTAAAACAAATAGAAGATGGAATATTTATGTCACAAAAGAAATATGTAGAAAAAATTCTAAAAAAGTTCGGAATGAAGGATTGCAAGCCAGTAGCTACACCAGCGAAGCAAGTATGAAGTTGAGGATAGATTCGAACGGAGAGTCCGTAAACCCGACACTCGTTCAAGAGTATGGTTGGAAGTTTGAGGTACTTAACTTTCACACGCTCGGATATTATGTATGAAGTTGAACTGGTCCGTAGATATATGGAGAAGCCAAAGCAGGATCACTTCATTGCAACAAATAGAATTTTAAGATATGTCAAAGGAACAACATATCATGGTTTATTTTATACATTTTCTCAAGATTCAAAGTTAATTGGTTACTCGGATAGCGATTATAGTGGAGACTTGGATGATCGAAAAAGTACTTCCGGATATGCATTTCATATTAGATCGGTAATATTTTCATGGTCATCAAAGAAGCAACAAACAATTGCTCTCTCAATATGTGAAACAGAGTATATAGCCGCAACAACATGTATATGTCAAGCAATATGGTTGAAGAATACTTTGAACGAGTTATATCATGAACAAGAAGGTCCAACTACAATATACATTGATAATAAATCTACTATATCACTTGCGAAGAATCCAGTGTCACATAGCCGAAGCAAACATATAGACACAAAATATCATTTTATTCGGGAGCAAGTGAAGAAAAAAATGGTGGAGCTAATTCATTGCGGAATAGAAGATCAACTTGCAGATATTTTTACAAAGCCTTTGAAGACCGAAGTATTCCACAAACTCAAAGGAAAGCTTGGCATGCAAAGTCGAGTTTGAGGGGAGTGTTGGAAGTCAAACCCGTTGCAATGAAGCAACAAATCACAACCACAAAAATGTACAAGGGAGGTGGTAAAAAATGGTTGCCAATTAAAGAAATCCGTGAGCTGTACATGGGCTGGAATTGAAAGCAAAATTGGAAAGGAATTGTTGCTGCAGACTTTATATAGCTGCCAAAGATATCCAAATTAGGCGGTGAAGCTTTATATATATATAGGTCCCGTATGCTCTAATATATGTATGAGAAATAGAGAGATCACAAGAGAAAAGAGAAAGTAGAAACTTAGATAGCAGCAACTATCAAGAAAAAAAAAATTTGAGACTGCTGTAACACACATCTATTGAGAGAATATTTTTGAGAGAGAAGTGATTTCTTTTGTAATCACTATATCATCAACATATTTCTATTTAAATTAAAGCCCAGCATGCTTCCAACAATTTAGTTCAACCCCTTTTTTTTTCCCCTTGGATCTGCTTTAATTGCATCAAAAATATTTTAATATACTCCCTCATCCATCAAGTTAGATCAATACTTATTTTATTTTATAAATTAGTGCTTTGATAGCAGAATTCTTTGAAGATCTTAAACAAATCCATGCCTGAGTAAAGGAATTAATATGAGAAATTTCGAAGCAGGCAAGTAGAAGCCAATTAACCGCCACCAATTGATTCCCAGACACTATAATGCCGCAAGACTTGCCGTATATGTCCATTTTTTTTTTTTTTTTGTGCATGTGACTCCCTTTCCCTGCCTTGACAATATCAGAAATAGCCAAGTACTTACTAATAACTCACCCTAAACCAGCTCTCTCACTATAATATAACCACACTCATTTTATCACCTTTGTGTCTCATTTTCTCAGCTTCTGCTTTCTTAATTCCTCACTCGATCTTGCCTGATCTGAAATATGGCTAAGTTGCTACTATTTGCCTACTGTGTGCTCCCTTCAGTACTTGTTAGCGAATGGAGCATGATTAGGCCGTGTCTACTGTAACACTTGCCAATGTGGCTTTGAGACAGAAAAAAAAAAAAACCACTTACATACCAGGTATGCACTCCTTTTTATCCTCATTAGTTCTTGTCATTGTAGCTTCTTCTTCCTTTTCTTTTAATTACTGGGATATATTCAGTATTATACCGTAACATTTGATCAATTAATGTAGTTGTTGATGAACGCTGTAACCTACTCCAGGTGCAACGGTCAGAATTGAGTGCAGAGATAGGATAGATTTACAGCTAAGATACAGTTTGGAGGGTGTGACAGACTCTACCGGAACGTGCGAGATTAAGGTTGTGGGGGACCAAGCAGACAGGCTTTGTCGTGTTGTTCTTGTCGATAGTCCACTGGACGATTGCAAAACGGTAGACCCAGTACGTAACTGTGCTGAAATTATTCTAACCCGTGTCAATGGTGCCATTTCTGATCTTCGTTTCGCTAATTCCTTGGGGCTTGTGAAAGACAAGGCATTGCCTGGGTGTGCTGAATTGGTCAAGAAACTTTTAGAATCCGATGAATAGATGATCAACAATGGGCATTCTTGCTACTCTAATATTTGGTCCCATCTTTTAATTAAGGACTTATGGTTATGGTCATATATGTTGTTTTTGGCACGATGTTTATTTATTTGGTACCTTAATTCTCTCTTAGCTCATGAGATTATGATGTCAATGTTCGTTTAATTTCATCTATTTCTTTTTTAATCATCTAGCTACAAGGATGAGTAATACTATTATTAAATAAATTTATAATCGGAGCGTTTTTTTTTTTTTTGTTTTTTTCGTTTGGTTACTTTTTGGCTTTTTAGTTAGCTTTTTTTAAAAATAGAAATTATCTCAGACCAATTTTTTCTTTTTTTTTTTCTTTACGAAAGATAGATTTGATTTCATGCATAGAAATCAAATTGATATATATATATATATCACTACCAAATCAAATCATTCATGTTACAAAGAATTGTCTCTAGTTAATTAAACGAATTTTTAATACTGCTATATGATAGTCTAAATAGAAAAATTTTTAAATACTCCAGCAATAAATATTTTAAATATCGATAGGCAAAAAGAGAGAGAGAGAGAATTAAAAAAAAAGAGGTGAAAATATTCTTATTACTTTTGATCTCTATTATTTTTTTTTCCCCTATCTCTCTAAGTATTGGTAATTATTTTAGAAGAAATATACTCTTTCTATCCCAAAGAGATTGTTCATCATTCTATTTATATTTTGTCCCAAAATGATTGTTGGATCAAAACTTTAAATATTATATTTTTCTAAAATATCTCTATCTTTTATAAAATTTTAGAACTCAAATTTAGCTGGATGAAAGGATATTTTAGAAAAATAAGGATAAATAAAGTTGTTGTATCGTGACAATTAATATATTTCTTAAAATATGTAAAAAGTAAAAAAAAAGACTACTATTTTGATACAGAGGTATTAAAATTTTTTGTCCAAAACATAAAATAATTACAAAAAATCTAAGCACTATGCTAATTAATTGAATGGTATATCTAAACTAAAAGGTGAGGTTAACATATCTAGATCAATAATGTAGAATTCATCAAAAAAAAAAAAAATTGTCCATTGCCTTTGAATTCTCAAATCCAATTACAGATCTTTATTAAGCGTATGTATGATTATGGAATGTAAATCCAGACACAGATATTCTCCTGTTATTGATCCAGACAAGCCCAACTTAATAACCTATGCTTCGAATTTCACTCCAATCATGAGGTTTCGTTTTTTTTCATTTCACCTGTAAATTTCTCATACCCTAATATATATATATATATACACACGGCATCATACATAATGGAAATTTTCGAAAAAGAAAAAATTGTAAGGGACCTAATAGTATATGGGTAGAATTCATTAAAAAAAAAATTATTCATGGAAAATAAATAGTACAGAAACAAAAGAAATTATGAAAAAAATCAGTTTAATAACAAATTTTGTCCATATTCTATTGCGATTTGACAATTTCAGATCCTTAATATAAAATCGCGTAATTTCAATCTCAAACTATTGATTTTTGAGCAAAAGTGATCCAATTTTCATAATTGTCGTTATATGTAACGGTCAATTGAATTAAGTAATATTTAAAATGTCAAAACGACATCATTTTAGTATTTCATCAATTAATCGTTACGTATAATGGTAAGTAGAAAAATTAGATTACTTTTGCTCAAAAATCAATAATTTGGGATTAAAATTATACGATTTGATACTAAAGACATGAAATTGTCAAATTGTAAAATTGTATCAGAATGGAGACAAAAAATGCCTTTAAATTGAAAAAAATTATCAAGATTATAAAGTTTGGGAACTTTATGTTAATAACTGTATTTTTAGGGAGTCAAGAGACAACATTGAGAAATGTAGGAAGGGTATGGGTTTAATATAAAATTTATAAATTTGAGATGTAATTGAGTGAGGATATAAGTTTGGGACTAAGCTAAAGTCTTCCTATTTTATTTTTATGGGCCAGATAAAATAAAATCCCTTCGAATTGAAGCCAAATCCCGTTACAGATATAATAATAAAGTACACTACTTATATATATATATATATATATAACGGTTAAATTCACAAATCTAATCGTTAGTTTTATTATTTTTTCTAAAAAATTATCAAGACACCCTTTTATTAATATTTGTTATATAATAATTTTTAGTAATTGATAAATAGTATATTGGTAATTATTTTTTTAAAAAAGTAAAAATAACAATTTAATTGGTGATATATATATAAAACAAATCTAATACAGATATTTACATGTCTCGCAAATTCACTGATTTTGACCTGGTTAATTAAGAGTAGAAGAGTACCGCGTTGTGGCGACAGTAGCCTGATAAGTTTTTTATTTATTTTCAATTACGTACATATTTAGAAACCTATTATATATTACTCCCAAAAACCCAACGATTTGAAAATTCAAACCAAGCAGACCCACGGTTTTCCTTTTTAATTAGGATTTGTCCCAGTCCTATATAATCTTTTCTTCCAGAAACCGACTGTAGGCACCTAACTCCTTGTATTGATGATCTGTTTTCTTCGTTAGTACTGTGCTTTCTGATAAATCAGTCTCCAATTACATGTTTTCTTGACTTGGCTTGTTTCTTGTGATTAAGATACCATATACCATGTCATTGTCTCCTCCACAGTCAGAACTTCTTTTCAGGCTTGGCGATTTGGTTGGTGATGTTTTGGATACGAGGATGTGGATTTCCAACTTGGAAAACACAGAATCATCAGATGAGGTGCTGCTCTCTTACAGTTTATTTCTTGGTGACATTGTTGACTACTCCATGCACCTGCAACTGCCAAACCCTTATGATTCCGAGACACTAAATCTTGATCCTATTCTTGAAGATAACGATGATGCTTGGATCAGGCTGGCTAGGCATATCAGTGCTCATGAGGCACCAAACATGCAACCTGCAAGCCAAAAGTCCATTGAATATCTGGATAAGGTGAAGATTGGAGATCAAGAGCCGTGTTTGACATGTACAGTTTGCTTGGACGAGATTTCAATTGGGTCTGTTGCCACTCGAATGCCATGCTCACATGTCTACCATCAAAACTGCATCGTTCAGTGGCTGGTCACGAGTAACATGTGTCCTCTCTGCCGGTACAAGATGCCTGCTTCTTGAAATTTTCGAGCCTTTTTCTTTTGTTTTTTCTTTTTGGGAAAATTAAACAATGCTGTCAATTAATTGTTTGAAAAATCTATATATACCATGGGATTTTCCCATTTTCCAATTTACCTTAAGTTCTAATGGTATTTGATGTCTTTATGATTTTGTTCGTTTTCAGCATCTGTGTACTTTTACCCTTCTCTCTTTGGGCTGACACCGAAGAGGAAAGACCGCTCAATAGCTAAGAATTTTTATAGCTAGAGACCTAAAAATTTCAAAAAAAAAAAAAAGAGAGAGTAGTTTCATAATAACCATCCACAATTATTTCATCCGTTTATTTTAAGAGAAAGAGACAGATATAAAAAAAAAAAAATAAAAAGAAAGAAAAAAATATCCTCTGTTTAATGTGCTTGCAATGTACGTATTTTTATTTGAAAAGAGAGAAATAATTATCGAGTTGTGACAGTAGAAATCTTTCAATAACAAATCCTTAAATTTGCTTCTCTCAATTATTTCAATGAGATATGAATTAAGATATCCCACGTATGGAGGTGAGAAACTTGGGATTCTCCTAGGGACGCGGAAGGTTGGCTAGCTTCTGCCAATTCTCTACGCTTTCTCTCTCACTCTCTATACTTTACTAGCTATTTGATATGCTCTCTTCTAAATCAAAATCCTCCGTTTGTTTTTCTTATCAAATTTTGCAATCCTTCTTTATTTCTATGTTTGTTGTTTTTTTTTTTATTATTAATTTGTTTAATTTTTCTAATCAAATTGCAAATAATTTACAAGTTTTTTAACAACCGTCTAATAAATTAAAAGGAATCACACACGTGTAAGAGTGTGCCTCTCACATATAGTTTACTAGGTTTTCGTTAACTTATCTGAAGAAAATTGATATTGTAATGAATTGGAAATTTACAAAGGGGTTAATCGAAAAGAAAAAAAATTGTTTTTGGATGAAATTGTGACAATATATATACTTAAGTAACACAAATTGAACTTTATCCTAAATTAAAAGAAACCATAAATGACGTTTAGTAGCCGAGTTGCAATAAATTTGAACGTTATAGAAGTTAATTGAAACAAAATAAAAATTTATTCCAAAAAGCTGATTTAAGGAAAAAAATTTTAATTATTTAAGTATTTAAGTAAATGATGAGTCGTTGTAAATGTAAAAATCTTTTTAGATAATTATATCTTTATTACACATATTATAAAACAATAAAAGATTAGTTAGGGTTTTTGGATTTGGAATAACTGAGGATTGAAAAAAATAATAAAAAATAAAAATTTTGAGTGAAATTGAGATAATATTTAAACCTAAAATTGAAATTTACTCGTATTTTACAATGCAGACGCCGCCGTTTGGTTCTCTGACCCGGCCCGCGTATAACGAACCTCTCTGTTGTCTTTTTCCTTGGAAACGTTAATTTCTTTCTCATGCATCTCTCGACTCTGTCGTTCTTATAAACTTGAGGACGTGGAGTTTAACTTCTTTGCCATTCGCCATCAATCACTGTTAAGTTTTCGTTCTCTACTTCTTTGTTCAGTTCCCTTTTTTTGGATTATTTTGGTTTGATGTTTTTGCTCATATTGATAATTGAAAACTTTTGGATTGTGATGGTTGTGTTGTTCCTTTTATGGTGCAATCTTGTTTCTCTTGTTGTTCGGGTAGTTTGATGTGATCGTAAGGTTTTGTCTTGTACTGAAGCTGAATTTGAAGTGGGATTTTGATGATTTCGATTTCCATGGAAACAAAGAGAAACTTTAATTGGTGCCCTTTTGGCTGTTTTTCCCCCACTTCATTTTACGTTGTTTGATTCACAGAAAGTTTATTTATTTATTTTTATGATTATTTGAATTTCTTGAAACTTGGAATATTATTTATTGGTGAACTCCTAATGCAGTATGATTTATAAGTATGGTGAAGAAAATGTTAATTTCTCGACGGAGAGAGGAAACGACAAGAGGAAGAAAATTATGGGTTTCAATGAAGGTTTGCGTTTGGTGTGTGATTAATAACTAATTGTGTGTAATGGGGGATCGAGGTAAAAAATATGAGCTTTGGTTCTTGTAATGTTTATAAATCAATATAGTAGCAATTTTTTTTTTAGCCTATTGTAGAATGAATCTTCATATATAATTTTTGTAAAATCGAAATAATCGGTTGGTCTTAGATTATCTATGTTTCTCATATGCTGTTTCTATGAACATCGAGTACTGAAGTAGTCTCACCTTTGATTCATTCATGTTTGCTTGCATTTTTTTCCCATAAACTGTGTTTGATGGTTTCAGTTTGATTAACAGATGGCAGTGGGTGCATTGCACAAGTCCATTGGGGCCATTCAGTTCTTTGGTTGTAGCAATGATTCTGTATCTACTAAGGGATTTGGAATTTCCTCATTGAGATTTATCTCAAAGGGTTTTGCAGTAGACATAAAGTTTCTCAGTAAAGGAATGCACCGTTCTAACCAGTGCAAAATGAATGTAATTCATGCAATTCCTTCTCATGCTTCTGTATTGGGTCCAATCTGTTCTACTCCACACTCTACCACCAATTATAATCAGAACACATCAAGTGAGTGAGATGATTAACAGTTTTTTTATTTCGGACTGCTCTAGTCATGAATTTGTTACTTATCGTGGCAATCCTGGCACATTACATGGCAACCCATCACATATCCTTACTTTAAAAAGAAGAACCAAAAAAAAAAAAATTTCTGTTATGCAATGGCCGTTATAAAACATTATCAGATATTAAAAACCGTGGCAGATAATGTCCCATTCGGAGTTTTCTCAACAATTTCCAATGTTTCCTGGTTTCTGATTGATATGTGGAGATCAAGTTTTGTGTTTTTGTGGTCAATTAATTGTTGGTGCTGTGATCTTCTTGGATAGTCGAATCTGCCTTGATATTGATTCGGCATGGTGAGTCTATGTGGAATGAGAAGAATTTGGTCACTGGTTCTGTTGATGTGCCTTTAACCAAGAGAGGCATAGAGGAAGCCATTGAGGCTGGTGAGCGAATTAGCAGCATACCAGTGGACATGATTTACACATCTGCTTTAATTCGTGCACAGATGACAGCTATGCTCGCCATGACTGAACATCGCCGCAAGAAGGTACCCTTGTTCGTTGTTTCCACAGCATTGCAGAACTTCAGTTTATATATATGTGTGTGTGTGTACACACTTTTGGCATCTCAAATCATGTGAGCAAGTCACATATAGTCATGTCTTCTTTCCATTCCTATTTCTCTTGTATTACAATCTCCTCATGATCCAATCTATTATTATGAATGAGCAAACTCAGCTGATGGAATTTGGGCTGGCACCCAACAATTACCAGTTGTGAATAAAGATTTCAGTAGAGGGCTGCACTGTCCAATGCAGTAAACATTTTATGACGCTTTCTCTACATTGCAGTACAGAATAATGTTTTTTTTTTAAAAAAAAACTAATGCATGTGGACACTGCAGATACCCATTATCATGCATGATGAGAGCATACAAGCAAGAGAATGGAGTCAAATTTTCAGTGAAGAAACAATGCAGCAATCTATTCCAGTCATAACTGCCTGGCAATTGAATGAAAGAATGCATATCCTTTTGTCTTTTATATATATATATATATATATTTATTTATCTTTAAAATATGCTAGCTGCAACATAGTCCATTTTCTTCAGGTATGGGGAGTTGCAGGGTCTTAATAAGGAGGAGACGGTTGTAAGATATGGAAAGAAGAAAGTGCATGAATGGCGTCGGAGTTTTGATATTCCTCCCCCAAACGGCGAGAGCTTGGAAATGTGTTCTCAAAAAGCTGTTGCTTATTTTAGAGAAAATGCAAGTCCATCGATTGACACTCTTTTCCTTAATGCTTCTTATTCATACTAAGCTGGTGGGAGCCTTGAAGGGTGAAGCATAATCATAATGTGTTACACATATGCATATAGGGTTTACATGCTTCTTTATGTGTGCATCTGATTAATATGAAACATATATTGCAGATTGAACCCCAGCTTCAGAATGGAAGGAACATAATGGTTGCCGCCCACGGGAATTCTCTGAGATCTGTCATTATGTATCTTGAGAAATTAACTTCTCAGGAGGTAATCTATTTTCTTAGGTTTGCTGAGTGACTACAAATACTTTCCTCAATTTCTCATCTTAAGTTTTATTTGTTTGGTAAACAGGTTATTAATTTGGAATTGTCTACTGGGGTTCCATTACTTTACATATATAAGCATGGAAAATTTATGAAGAGGGGCAGTCCTTTTGGACCTACAGAGTATGGGGTTTATGCTTACACTAAGTTATGAACTCTCTATGCTCTTTGTTATACTTGGTCACGTCATTTGTAAATTGTTCAGTCCCAAATTTTCAGTTTTTTTCCTGAGATCTTTATTATTAAAGGACCATCTCACCTAAAAGCTTAAGCTGATAGGTGAAGGCCCAAAATATAATTTATAATAATCTCTAACATACCCCTCAAGTGAAAGCCTCAACATTTAGGCTTGAAACTTGCAAAATACTTAAGAAATTGAGAATGGTGAAACTTGAACTCGGGACCTCTTGGTCAACCAAGCTCGATACCATATTAAAGGATTATCTCACTTAAAAGCTTAAGCTGATTGGTGAAGCCCCATAATATAATTTATAATAATCTCTAACATTTATTAGTTGTCAATTACCATCAAAGGCAAGCATGGTTGAAGAAGTAGCATCCTTAAAGTTAGTATGATCTGCATTGCTTGACTGCACTAACCGGCATCCGATTTTTGAGTTTCCAAAGTCTTTATTTATTAAATGTCCATCAGGATGTCAAGAATCAGATTAACTTTTCTTGCATAGACAAACATAATCTGTTGTCCATTTGACCTCCTGCACTGTTTTGCATTGGCTGAGGCCTTCCCCATTCAGTAAAAATAAAAAGATCATTATCAAGCATCTTCAATTCTCTACTTCTCTTATGTTCACTCCTAGGTTTCTACCATGTATATCAATTTCTTGCTCAACTTGTACAGAAGCTCCTTCATATCTCTTAACAGCTAGTGGATTTCATGGTAACAATCTTTTGAGGTTTATTTCAGTAAAGCACCTTGCTGAAAGGAATCTTCCATTAGCTGTTGAGGTCATTACTGAATCAAACTGTGAGAGGAACAACACTAGTTGATTTTGTACCTTGCTGAAAGGTCATTATGTTGCAGTTTGCCTTTGTTCCGCCATTACCACCAACGAGATTGAATGTTGATACAAAGCTTGCTTTATGATGATTCTTGATTTTTCATTAAAGTTTTCGATGATATAACATAGAAAAATCATGTACCTTCTTGCCAGAAAGAATGCTTTCTTTGACTTAAGGTATCAGGAGTGGCTGATAATCATGAACCCTCTGGCCCAAGAAGAATTTCATCCTTTGATCACTCACTTCTGATTTATCATTTACTAACTTTTGAAAAGTACCATTCTAATTGAACTCAAAAAAATTGGAAGCACAGATTGTTTTTGGCTTTTACTGAGTGTTAAAAAAGAAAAGTAAAAACAAAATCTTGGCTTTGATGTTTTATAACAGATACGCGCTTCGGATAGATCACAGAGAGGAGGACATTTTTTGTGGATGAGTGGCTAATGCTGATATGTCTAAGTACTTCATTGTGATAAAGTAGGGAAAACAAAAGAGGAAAGTGAAATCAGTAGATAAGGTTGCATGCTATTAGGGAGAATGTCCTAGTTTTGCTCGAGTCTTCTTCGGTATGGGAACATGAAGTGAAAATGGCTTAAATTACTGTTTCCGGGACCCTGCTTTTAGCTGAGCATGTGTATGTCATGCTAACTAGTGAAAATGGCTGTTTTTTTTTTTTTTTTTTTAGTTTGTATTTTGCTGTTTCTGTTGGAATATGCTTTCATCTGTGGTTTTATTGCAGAAGCATATTGCATATGAGCCTAGTTTTTGGTGTGGAACTTTGATATTATGAAGAAAGTAGTTAGTTCAATCAGTTTTTTTTCCCATATATCTCTATTTATTTGATCCCATTAATGGCTTATATGCACGATATGTTAGTAGCTCTTTCTAAAGGTTCTCTTCTCTAGACCTGTTCATAAAATATTACGCAAAATACATGTCATTTTAGTAAGGCAAAAGCAACAATAATTTACCAGTTTCTTTCACTCCTTTTCAATGCTTTGGTAAATCATCTTGTGGCATAACTTGTTACCTCTATGTTAACCTCATTTAAATATAGAGAGTGAATGCTGCCGCTTCAGCATGTGCAAAATATGCCTTCGGTAGTTTCTTTACCTTGCTTTCTTAGTCCAATCTGTCACTCTTTTTTTGTTCTTCCTTCTCAAATCACCGGGCATATCATAACATCTCTTATCTTTCTTTGAACTGATTTGTGTTATCTTACCTGCTTGCTATATGTTCTTAATGCAGAGCTTAGCTCTTTACAGGCAAAAATTGGATGAGGTGGCCTAATAATCAATTCGAAAACCTGGTAAAACTTCTTGCTTGATTTTAGATTCATCAAAGAGCTGTGTGTGTATTTCCTCTTATCGGAGATATCATAAAGCAAATGAAATGTGCAGATACATGACTACAGTTCTTTACTGATGCTACAGTGCACAGCAATGGTGACTACTTTTTCAGTCAATCCTCGGTCATTGTCAACGTGCTAGAGAGGAGTCCGTAAGGTAGGTGGATGGTGATGACACAATAGTTAAAAGGAGTAGGAAATTACCTGTCCTGATTGCAATTCTTCTGTCATTATCAATTGAGAATCAAAGAAATACAGCTAACAAAGAAACTATGGTATGGTCTTTCAATTATTTCTTATAGAATGCTGACAACATTGTCGATGGCCAACATTCCCACAAGGATGATGAGAAATCGATGCGATGTATTTAACATCAACTTTGATATATCGTAGATGATTTTCTGTTGATGGCATGGGAGCCAAGATGCCCCAACTACTGCCCAAACGCTTGTTAAAAAATACCAAGACTAGGTATACATGAAAAAAATGTAGAATTTGTCTTAAATTGCATTATGCATGTATACACAATAGCAAACTTTTGGCGGTTTAATCGCAGTTGGAAATGGGTTTTGTATGCGAGAACATGTCTTTTGTAGTTGACCTAAAAAATATGCTGGTTGATTGTGTATCTTGTTTTTTTTTTTTTATTTTCCTTTCTTTCTTCTTTCTTTTAGACTTGTAGTTATATATGGATTAACCAATTAAGAAATCAATTAACTTCAACTAGCGCTAATGAATTTATACACTCTTAATAATGTGGTAAAATTTTTCTTGACCAAGAAATTGATATCAAAGTGGACATTTTCGTAGATAACGTAGAAGCACATGAAGTGAACAAAGATCGGAGCAAGCTAATTTAGAGATCTTAATTTTGTTTAACATTATGTGGGGATTTTTTTTATGGGGTAGGAATTTATTAATCCGTCACCATTTGGTTAAGCAGAAATTACTTGAAGTTGTCTACTGTTATCCATTGACAATATATATAGTTGTAGAATTTCTTGCTGCTAGTCACTAAGGTTATGGGAGCCGGTAACCAATTGAAGTGAGTAACAGAACCTTTGGATTATTTGTGAATTTCTAAACCTCGTGGATTATGGAAAGTGAGGTCTTTTTCAAAAGAAAAAAAAGATGGGTCGTCCTTATGGAGGATCCATATATAAAAGAAGACTTGATTCTGTCAAATTAAGCATTCCAGAAAGTGGTTTTTGTAGCGATGAGTAAATTGAATAAAACTGAAAGTGCTTTTTGTCAAAAATAGTTGCAAGAATTGGGCAAAACAGCTCCAAGACACAAGTGATATTTAACACCAATAATATGGATTATTATTGTGCATGGAATCTGGAAGGGACGGAAAAGTGCACCGGAATATATATGCAGTTGTTTTGCTATAGATTACAAGACTAGAATTTTGCAATTATCTATGAATGAATGCAGAAGTAGTCTACTTTTTTTTTTTTTTTTTTTTTTCTGGTAATCCAGGGTATCCGGGTCGGCTTGCGCGCACCTCGACTAATCCTTGGAGCCCACTAAACACCCCGCAAGCCCAGTGGGCATGTAAGGCACCGTGAGGGTGATAAGCGTGCGCAAAGAGAGTCGAACTCGAGTGGTCCTCAGGGGATAAGCCCTCGTTCTGCTAGGCTACGACCTCAAGCGCAAATACTCTACTTTTTGTTGTACCTGGAGGATGTTAATCAAAGTTGTTTCTTTTTTCTTTTCCTGCAGTGTTACAAACTTCGCTATCCCACTGAGTGGATTTTCTTGTTACAAAATTGAAGCATTTGAATTGATTGTCTAATTAAAATTTGATCAGATTCATCTATATATAGTATCGCTATCTGAGGCTGACACTGCGTTTATATCTTGACTTTTTTTCAAAAGTTTAAATTTGGGTATTATGGATAAAAAAGATATATGTTGCGTTGTAAAGAATTAATTTAGGTTTGTAATATTGTACGTACATAGACTAGGTCAATGTGTTGTACATTCAAATGTGGTTGTCTTGGTGACTCCGGTTTCTTCTATTGTAAGGGAACACCACCTCGTTGTAAAGCCCAAAGTTCGTTAGAGTTCTCAACAAAGAAAAAAAGAAAAGAAGCTAGAAATAAATTCTACAATTGTACGTAGTAAACTATGACTTAATGTTTCTCTTTTTAGGAGTCTTTAATTTCCCGAAAGCATTGGCGCCAAAGTCTCATTCTTTTGTAACAAGATCACAAAAAAATTCATTTTGCCATAATTATTTTGACAAAAATAACCAAGAGAATAGGGAAAACAAATCCACCAAAAATCTCCAGAATTCATGATCTCAGCAAACGTAGAAATTTCCCTTTTTTTTTCTTTTTTTTTCCCTCTTAGCATCTTCAATCAACATTTTATTTTTGGAACAAATCTTTAATTAATTTAAATTAGATTCTTGCTATGTTTCAAACAGAACATTTAAAGTTTTCGACCCTAAATTCCAATTTGTTTGCATGCATTAATAAATGATTTGAAAGTCAAAATAGACAAGCACAAAGATAGAGATGACCAAGGCCAAAAGCCCTAACGATGCCCCCTCTGATGATTCTGTCAAGAATGAAAAGAAAAAGAAGGTATGTTTTTTTTTCATTATTAGTTTCAATGTTTTCTTTTTTCTTTACTGGATTGTTATTTCTTGATTTCTTAGCTTGTTCCCTGTCGGAAGACATTGCTTTTGTTCATTGATTCTCAAAGTCTTTCTAAGCTTTCGAGCAAACCAGAATAAAGGTTTAATGTTTTGTTCCCTTCAACAATTCTTAATTCTT